GAGAGGTCTTACTGAAGTCCAAGGCAGCTAGTCCTCCTGCAGACAAACCACAGGCGTATGTAGCATGTTTGTCATCTAGGGAGAAAATGGCACCCAAAGTCCAGGCAAGGAGAGTAACCTGAACCAAGATCAAGAAGCAGGCAACACAGAAGACAGGGCAGCAGAAAACAAGAACTAGGAGAAAGAAAGCAGTACTAAAGTTAGCTTCGCTTTGCTTTCGAGACAGGGTCTTCCTATGTATTTCAGCTTGCCTTGAACTCACTTATGAAGCCCAGGTTAACCTCAAACTCACAGCGATCTCCTACCTCAACCTCCCAAATGCTGAGATTACAGGCATGTACTACCACGCCTGGTTTACTGCAATATAAAACAACAGAAATAAGTGGATTGTTAAGAGAAAAAAATAAGAACAGAGTAGTTTCTGACAGTAGTGAATAGAAGTCCATTAAGCAGGAAAGGAAAAGTGACATCAAATTATGAAATGATTACTGAAAATTAAGGTGTGATATAAGAATATTTAGTATATACAGTATTTAGATATATGCATTGATAACTGTCTTGATATAGATACAATCAGGTGAGCTTAAACTTGGTTTTATAAAATAATGAGACAGGCAGAAACTATTTGTCTTCTCTTATAGAATCTGTTAAAGGGGGGCTGGGGATTTAGCTCAGCAGCATAAGTGCCTGCCTTGTAAGCAGGCAGTCGTGAGTTTGATCCCTGGTACCGATAAAAACGAAAAAGACAAAAAAAAAAAAAGAATCTGTTAAAGGGGCAACAATAAGTACTTCAGTATGGGAAGAAGAGATCATTGACATGCAAAGATTTCTCTCATGAACATCACAACAGGAGCGGGGCGGGGGGGGGGTGGTAGTACACACTTGGAGTTGCAAGGCTAAGGCAGGAGAATCTTGGCAACTTAGCAACTTAGACCACATCCCAAAATTAAAAATTAAAAAGGCCTGGGGATGCAGCTCAGTGGAAAGGCCCTGGGTTCAACCCTCAGTACGTTTAAATACATAATAAATTAATAACCCACAGGACATTTTACTTCAATAATCATTCAATAATTATAATACAAGCAGAGGCTAGGCATGTAAACACGTATTGAATGCTTTCCTGGTAACATAAATGCCAGAAAATGAATATCAAAGCTATAATCCCTGCTTCCAGGGAGTATAAAGGAAGTACCAAGCAAAAAGTATATACTGCATTTTAAGTTACAATCTGCTATATTCAACAATATCACGATATTTACAAAAGCAAACAAAGTCATATTCTCCTTGGTGGGAAAAAAAATCCATAGGAAAAAATGATGCTGCCTCTCAGCCTTGAAAGTAGAGCAATGTTTAGAAGTAAAAAGAAGACATTATGGGGCTGGGGATTTAGCTCAGCGGCATAAGCACCTGCCTTGCAAGCAGGCGGTCGTGAGTTCAGTCCCTGGTACCGAGACATTGTAACCAGAAAGAACAGAAAATAGAGGCAAGAAAGGACACGATAACTTAGAGAAGAGGGGGTTTCTTAAAGTGAAGTGTTGACGTATGGAAATATCAAGAAAAAGCTTACTGGCCAGGAGGAACACATCAGGGAGTTGAGGCAAACCAGAAAAGGCAAGGTTCAAGGGGATGGACAGGAGACAACTGAGTCTGGTTTCAATGCTCACACTGGAAGCATTAATCAGAAAGGACATGGAAAGAATTTAAAGTCTGAGGCAGAATTTGACTACAGAAGGCACAGAAGGAGAAGAGGTTTTCCAGAAAGAGACAAAGAATGCATGGAGTTAAGAAAAGGCTGGAGAACAAATAATAGAGATATATGTTGGCTGCCTTTTTACGATCTTAAGAGCAAAAGGAAGAAGAAATATTTACTATAATAGGATGCAATGAAAGTGGAACAGTTTATGAAAGTCTTGTGTTCATAGGTAAAATCACTAAAGATAGTTACAGAAAGCACAGAAAGTAAACACAGTCCCAGAGAACAGAAGAAACAATTATTCAAGACCCCACAGCAGATCATCAATAGATGGCAGGTAAGACGCAGCAAGATATTCTCAGGATGCCCAAGGTTCCTTCAAAGGGCCTAGAGATCACTCTATGATAGGGGGATACAATGTCACCATCTTAAAGAAATGGTAAAGCTTAAAACCATGAGAAAAAGTGAAATACCTCAATATTTGATGTTTCAAGAAGTGACAAAACATGAAAGTATTACAGCATCCTCCATGCAATATTCTCACAGAAGTGTCTAATCATATTGTAATAAAATCTTTAGGCCTAACTTTCAGCATATTATTAATAGGGTGTCTCTCCCTGCATTCTCAAAATAAAGGTCATTTATATTTCATACTTCTTATCTTTTCAGCCGCCGCTGGTCCTCCCCCCACAGTGCTATCAGTTACCCAAGTAGTTTGTCTATGAATTACTCAGCATTCAGTTTCATCTTCTAAAAACTCTCAATGAAGAAGAAATAAATAGTAAGGAGCCACATCAAGAGAAAGTGTAGCATAGGCATGTGAAGACGCTAAGAGAAACCATAGCATCCTCATGGTAAAACTCTTAACTCTTTTGGGAAGACCTCTAGAAGAGAAATACTTAAATCAAATAGAAATGTCTACCTTTAGTTTTTAAGAAATAATCTCCATACTGCAATCCATAGTGGTTATACTAGTTTGAACTCCTATCAACAATATAGAAGGGTTCCTTTTTCTCCACAATCACACAGCAGTTGTTGTTGTTTGTTTGTTTGGGTTTTTTTTTTTTTTTTTTGACACCTAAGAATGGCTATTCTTAGTGGAGGAAAGTGAGATTTCAGTGTTGTTTTGATTTGCAATTTTCTGATGGCCAAAGATACCAAACATTTTTTTCATGTAACTACTGGCTATTTGTACTTTTCTGAGAAGTTTCTATTTGTTTCAGTTGCCCATTATTTGACTGGGACTTTCATTACAGGGGTCCTGATTTTGGGAGTTTTTACATACTCTAGGTGTTAGTCCTTTGTCTAAGGAAGAGCTGGCAAATATTTTTTCCCATTCCGTAGATTATCTCTTTACTCTGCTGTTTGCTTCGCTGAGCAGTGAAGTTTTTAAAGTACCCCAAAACAGATTTTGATTCTGTTTAGTTTTGTTTGTATGCTGCAAAATTTTCTTTCAAAATTGATAGAAAATAAAGACTTTCCATAACAAAGAGCAGTTAAAGAACTTCTTGATCACCAAGCCAACACTGCAAGAAGTACTCAAGTATGCTAGACAAGAGATAAGGAGGTCAAAATCATCAAAGAGCTCAAAAGAAAGAATTCATCTAACTGGGTGACTTGCTAAACAAAAGTGAAAAACTAAAAGACTTCGTAATGGGAAAATAACACCACTTCTCTCTAGTCCTCTGCCCTTACCAAACTGTCTAACTGCACCCCCAAGGAATCACTACTTGGCCACACATTCCCCAGTTCCTAGGGCTCAGCAGCTGCAAGCTGGGTGGGAGGCTTCCAGCAGCTGACAGAGTATCCTGCAGTCAAAAACTCTCTGGTGTCTGAGAAGTTCCTACTTGGCACTACCCAGCATCACTTCTTCTCCCCTGAATCACACCAGTCACAAGTGCTGCCTAATCCCTGTCCCGCACTGAGCCGCTGGCCTGGGGCCAACTTCTGATTACAGGTCCCTCAGATTCTTGTCCTTATTTGTTACCTTCCCTAGGGCCTGCCAGTTCTAACCCAGTCACTGTTCTCCAAATAATCCCCTAGCTTTCACTTTCTGTATTGCCCTGATCTGCAAATATTTCCCCTAGTTGGCCCCTCTCTCAGAGAGAAGGGAGCCAGGATAAAAGAGCACTGGATGGCACAGTGGCTGCCAGGCTACCAGCCCAACCCGCGCTCAGCCTCTCCCAAAATGCCCCCTTTGCTGCGCTAAGGGGCAGCCCAGCTTCCTTTTCTACACCCTCTGACACGGACTCATCTGCTTCTCCTTCAGGCTGCCATCCTCGATTTGTGTCTGTTGGTGGTATCTCCCCACCACCACACTCCACTTCCCAGTGGATTTCTTCAGTGGCTCAGGCACACTCCTACAGTCACCCAGGAAGGAGCTCCCAATAAGGAATCTCTGTGACACTTCTTTTACCTCAAATTACTAAGATCCGGCTTCACAGCACTATCCATTCTTCCCCATTTGAAAAAAGAAATTTTGGTGTGTAATGAGTAAAATACAAAAGTGTCTGTTGTAAAACTTATTTGTTTCAGTAGTTTCCAGGGTCAGGTCCCTGGAACAACTTATGTAAATAATTTACCTAAGTTCACGACAGTAATTTACCTGGGTTCATCTAAGTTTACACTCTGGTGAGACAGAGATTAACAGCAACCACCTATATCTATAAGTTCCTGAAAGGCTTCTAAATAATCACCATGCAACCAAAAAATGAAATAGACTTATGTTAAGATTTTGAAAGTGTAGATTTTCAGCTAAATCGTAGTAACAAATTTTCATTGCTACCTTTCATTATGGATGCTTGGGACTTTGATCTCAAATCTGCCACAATTTCACACCATAAAAGGGGACATGTAAGGTAACTGGCTTGCTCTGTCCAGATGGCAAAGTCCATTACTAAGAGAAACCTTTTTTGTAGGCAACAGATCAACAGCAACAAACTAATAAGGAGAATACTGAATCTAGTCTAGCAAGAATGACTGCTTACATTCCATTCACATGGCATGTGATGGTGAGTATTTCTCTGAAAATAAACTACTGTTAATCCAACTAATTCATTTTAAATCTCCATTACCAGGTTTTCTAAGAAAATATTATATCAGAAGAAAAACTTGTATATGTGTAATTTTGAGCAGTATAAGCATGAGTAATGAGGAGATGGATATGATCAAAACATACAAACTGAAACTCAGTATTTTTACAAATACGCACTAGTAAAGAAAAATACTAAAGTAAAAAATACCTTGTTTCTAGAGATGATGTCCAATTTACAAAACATTTTGAATGGTAAATAAACTTTAAACTCACCATGGCAAATGTACTAACAGTTGGTTTCTTTTCCTTCTTCTCCTTTTTACTGAAAAATACAACAAAGCAATTATAAAACCCTTTAAAGATTATACAAATTTTTAAATTACCAAATTAATATTTAATGCTTATATTTAAAGAGAACTAGGGCAAAGATGTTTACATTATTTAATAAAAAATAGTATGATTTAATTTATAAAGTTTACAAATATTTGCATAGGTTTTCGAACTCTCTATACATTGTTATCCCTGGATATTAGAATTTCTATAAAAAGGTTTATTCCTTGTGCCTTTGGGTAAATAATTTTCTATGATTAATATATAACACACACAAAGAGAAAGACACCACTTATAACTAAAAAGTTACTTACTAAGCTAAGCGAGTTTTCTTTTTATTCTAACTAGAAAATCATTCATGGTCTCTCTAATAAATCACCTTAATTATCATGTGAGTATTCTAGCAGTTGATATTCTATCTACCTACTACCAGATATTATTGGAGAGCAATAGTGATCAGATGTTGAGCATAAGTGAAAAATAGTCAACTTTCCTTATGAGCAAGTCTGATTCTGAAAGGATGCCTGGAGCCCTAAGTTATGAAAACAAGTTAATTTAGAAAAGTTATGGCCTAAAAAAATCTGTTCTATAAATTGTGGAAAAGGTGTCCTTGGGCATAAAAAGGCCAGCTATTATTTTGAGGCTAGTTTCAAAGAATCTGACTCACTAAGCCATGCTCTCCGTATGCAGCTGCCACCTTGAACGTGAAAGCAAACCAACAATAACAAATTAACCTCATTTTTGTAAATATAAAAGACTATTTTAGAAAAAAGTTGTATTATTATTCAAGAAATTTTCAAGTTCAAACAATAAATCTAGAGTTTATGAATATTTGGCTTTGGAGTGATGTTAGCAAGAAAACACAAACACCTTCAGGTCAGGCCCCACCATACTCCTGGTAAAGGCATGGTGTCAATACACCTGGAAACAGAACCAGAGGAGTAAAGCAGTCGTTTTTAAGCCATAAGCTATTTCCTTAATTTTTCTAAAACTGATGCTACTTTGGAGAATTCACAATATTACAGCTCTCCTGCATGTGATTCATAAACAACTCTGAAGAAGGCATACTTTCTGTCGTGCTTTTAGAGATAAGAAAACCACAGAGCAGTGATAAGAGTTAGCTGACTTGTCCAAGGTCCTACTGCTGGAACAAAGCCAAGACTTTAACTGCAAAGTCTGTTATCTGATCACTAACCCATAAAGTTGTGGCCTCCGACTTCAGAGATACAACACTGTGAGAAATACACTTTCATAGGAACCCTTTTACCAGTTTCCTCATTTAACCCCAACAACAGAGAACACTGAGCTTACAAAGGCAAGTCATTTACAAATTATCGTTTCAAAGATGGCATTTACAAACACAGGAACTCCAGATAGTACCATTAGCCCACAATTGTCTATTAGCAAAGTCAAATGCATATTCACAACCCCACATTAAAATGTATAGTTTTCATAACAGATTAAAGGGGCTGGGATTTAGTTCAGCAGTTTAAGTGCCTGCATAGCGAGCACAAGGTCATGGGTTCAATCCCCCCTAAGAACTAGTTTAAAAATCTCTACTTTGAAGCAAAGTCTGTAAGCCATGGTAGTAACATAATAAAATGAAGACATGGAATGCCTCAGTCACTGGCTGGGGATATGGCTCAGTGGCAGAGTGCCTGCCTGGCAAATGAGAGGTCCTGTGTTCAATTCCCAGCATCAAGTAAATAAATAAATAAAAGATCAGTGGGTTTTCTTCACTGTTTCCCTCTACTTAGCCCCAATTTTCTTACTTAAATATATCTCAATATTTGTATCTTCAGGATACAAACTATCGTATTTTAAAAAACACTTTATAAATAGACTATATGGAGTCTTTATGTGTTATGAGTTTAAGTTTTTCAATATGAAAAACTTCAAATGAACAGAAAAATTCAAAGACTATAAGGACTTCCCACATGATTCACCTAGATTTATCAATGAATGAGTGCTCTGATTGTATTTGTTATTTATACAAGAGAGTATATATTCCAATTTGTTAGTATTTTGATGAAATAGTTAAAAGTAAGTTGTAAATATTATCATAGCCATGGATTTTCCTACCATTATCACATCTAAGAACTCTAAGAGCAATTTTGACATCACCTAATATTCCATCCACATTGTTTTCTCAAGAATTGTTTCTATCAGTGGTTTTCTTTTTTAAAACTCTGATATAATCAGTTTGCACATTATATTTGATGATTATATCACTTCAGTCCTTCTTAATCTAGCAGCCTCTATCTGCTTCTTTACAATAACTTTTTTAAAGGGCCAAGAATAGTTATTTTATAGAATGTCCCTCATCTCTCATATATATCAATTTAAAACCGAGTGGAGAAATACAGTAACTGTAAAATACACAGCAGATTGGAGGTCTCAGCATTAGAGAAAACGGCAACTCACATTTCTATTGGACACCACGAGTCTGGAAGCTTAATTGGATTCATATTAAATTTGTCTGCAAATATACTACCTGTGCACTCAAATTCCATCTCATGCTGAGTCATTTAACAGTCTATTCTACCACAAGTGATGTCAAGTGTGGCCATGGTTAAGATGGCAACTTCAAAATCTTTCATTGCAGAAGTACGTTTCCCTTCTGTCCATTAGTAATAAATGTGGAAATAGTCATTAGATATCTTTCTCTGAATTGTTTAGGATACAGACACAATCCTTGCCTGAATTATGACAATGGCAGGTTCTGATAGATAAATTTAGCTACATTTTTCTGTAGAGAAGATTCCTTTATTTTTCCCTACCTCTCATATCTTCTTTCACTTTTCTTCTCTGAATATTATCGGGGATTCATCAGTAGTATCATGTTGAATATCTCAAAATTATTCACGATTATTACTACCTTTGATATTCAAGGTGTCCCAGACTTGGCTAGTGGAGGCTCCCTGAAGTCAGCTTCTGTGTCTTTTGACTATTATTAAACTTGCTTCTTTGTTTTTGAGGTATACAAGATACCACTGGCACACTCCCTGCCCAAGATCTGGTTGAAATTCACTATTTTTTTTATGGGTACTCTTTCTTTTTAATAGGGAATGGTATTTAGAAATCAAAATCTGCAGTGTCATAAGCACTTTCCTGGCAAGCATGAGGTCTTAAGTTTGATCCCGGCTACGAAAAAAAAAAAAAAAAAATCAAAATCTGGCACAAAAAGTGTGTCCTTCTTAGTGGAAAGAAAATAAACTATTTATGATTTCATATACTGGAGTTTCCAATGCAAGTTTAACCTCTGTAAACTCTGACTTACAAATTTCTATCTCTTCACTTACAATGGAAAGCTTGGTTTCTAGTAATATTACTATATTTAACAACGTACTTTTTAAAAAAACTAACAAACCTACTGAGTGAAGTTTAAAATTTCTCAGACAAGCAGAGTATGGTGCACAAATGTACTTAAAACAATTATTTTCTTTCTGTGGTTACATTACCAATTTTATATGCACACAGTTGTTGCCAGTTAACACAAAACAAAAATAAGCTCGATCTAGTTATGGCCTTCTGGTGCATCTGCCACGCGACAAACATGCAATGTGTATGTCTCTGTTTATGATCAGATCCTGGGTCACAGAGCAGAGCCCTATGTCTTCAGGATACAAACTACCATATTTTTAAAAACACTTAAAAACAGACTATGTGGAGTCTTTTTGCAGGCGGATGGCTCCAATGTGTGGGAATCAACGTTGTTTGTAAAACAAAAGACAGCATAACAAAAAAGGATGTGAGTGTTGGTCATTCGGTCACTCGGGGCTAAGAGCCTCAGGAAGACCTCACAAAGACACCTGCACTGCGCCAGACTCTGCCCAGGAACCCTTTCAGCCCTAAGCAGGGAAGCCGCTTCCAAATCTGCCTTGCACCTCTGAAGATTCTAACAGCCACAACCGCCAGCTAGAGGGTAGAAACGAGCTGCCCAAATTTCTTAACCCTTTCAAGGTATGGAAGTGTAACAAACTGGCTACCTTTTCTTCCCCAGTTTATAGTCCCCTGCTTTTCCACCGAAGTCCCCTTCGTGATCCATGGCGACCTGGGGAGAAACCACAGCCCGTCAGCCAAACGCGCAGCTCCACCGCGCCGGGCTCTCCACCACCCAACCCGGGCATTCCCGGTGCAGGGGACCCTTGGCGGGGCCCCCGGTACCGGGCGAGGGGACTCGCGCCTCTCCCGCCCGCTGCGGTCCCCAACACGCCCCAGCCCGGCTCCCAGGCCGGGTCCCGCCCCGCGAGGAGCGCAGTGAGGGCGGCGGGACCTAGGGCGCGCGCACCGCGCCCAATCCGCAGCCTGGGGGTGCTCGGGGAGCCTCCCTTCCCGGCGGCTGTGGAAGTGGCCTCGCGCGGTCCTCCTGGACGTCCATAGCCGCCGCCGAGGAGCCCTTCTTCCACGCGGGCCACACTGCGGAGCCCGACCCACGCGGGAGCTGCAGCCTCCAGGCCCCGCTGCGTGCGCCTACCTCGGGCGCGGCGCGAGCTCCCCCCGGACCGGTCTGAAGACGAGCGGCGGCCTCTACCTCCAGGCGCTCGCGTGAGAAGAGCCGGGCTTTTTGTAGCCCGGGGAGTGGACCGACCGGGGGCGAGTCACCCGTGGGCGTGGTCCCACCCAAACGCCCGCGCGGAGTCGCGGGTTGCTTCCGGCACGGCCAGCTGGATGAATTTGCTGGGGAAGTAAGTGGTGAACCGGGCTGGATTTCCAAGGGTGCCCTGACTTCTTGGACCCTTATTCGACAGGCACCTGAGTCAAGAGTGAGCTGTGTACCTGTCCGCTAGCTTCAGGGAGCTGAGCTCCAGCAGGGGCAGCGCATCTAACACAGTTGATAAAACCAGTTTGGGCCCCACCAGCTCTGCAGTTTAAAGTTCCTTCCTTTCTACTCTTAAAAAGTCACTGAGAAATTATTGTGCTTGGTCTTTTTACAGTTTCTGAGGTGTATTTCTGCATTTTTTCTAAAAGGGTAATTGGGAGGAAATTAAAAGGAAGGTTTTTGACTAAGACTATAGAAACAACAAATTCAGGTTGGAAATCTTGCTTAAAAGTGTGTCTCAAAAAAAAAAGTGTGTCTCATATTTTAAAGTTTAGCTATCAAGTCAATGTGCATATTCCCTCAGAGCATTTCAAAGCGCTATTTTAATAAAGGTTATTAAACAAGATATTTTAGCGTATTGCTTTCATAGGGGGTTCTTTGTGTATCTCCTTGCACACTTGGTAGTTTCTCTTGTCCATAGAATCTTCTTAAGATGAAACAAAAGCAAATACAAACTTCACATCTATTTTACAAAGCTGTACAAATTAACATCAGAGCCTTTCACACTTATAAACAGCAAACAGTTCTTTTACCAGCTGGTCTACCTATACCCGCTTTCACCTAATCTGGCCTTTTGGCTTGCTGTGAAAAGTTGAGAAGTTGTTACAGCATAATGTGAGGCTGTTTCCTCTAAGACATCAAGAGTCACCCATCAAGAACATGTCTAGGTTAAGGGTCATATGAGCTCAGAGATTTTTAGACAAGGCTCTGCCATTCCAATATTTTTTGAGTGTCTTTGTCCAAAGGACGTGAAAATATGAATATGAAACGAGATAAACTTCCTTGACTTATTTAAAGATGTTTATTTCGCATCATTTCTTACCACTAATCTCTCCTTAGCTTCATTAATTTGCAGTGAAAGTCAGTCACTGCCCGCTTCTGAGTTCCCGCTCAGCTTCCTTCAAGCAGCTGTTTCTAGGGGACCAAGTCTGCCCCTCCCAGCCTTCACCTCCCATCCTCCACCTGCAGGGGCCCTTGCATCCTTGTGTCAGCAGTCTCCCAACAGTGAAGCCGGGATCTCGATATTCTCGCCTTGTGTATACCAGTTGGAATAATGATAATAATAGCAAAGAAAAAAGCATTTAAAACATTTTATCAGTACACATGTATGGTGCATAGTGTTTACATTCATGTTAGGGAGTCTATCACATACCTTAATTCTTCCTATTCCCCTTCTCCTCCCTTCCCTCCCAACTTTCTCCAGCTCTAGATTCCCTTCTTCCAATTTTTTTGTTCATATTTGTGATACATGATGATTACACTGATTGTCGATAATTGAGACCTGTCTATAATATGTCTTAATTCTTTTGCGCCTCCTTTCCCTGTTTTCTGTTTCCCTGTTTCCTATTATCTATTTTGCTCTTTCATTTATTTATGCTTAGAGTTTCTCCTATAAGAGAAATCATATGCTATTTAGGGCTAGAGATATAGTGTAGTGGCATAAGTGCCTGCCTGGCAAGCACAAGGACTTGAGTTTGATTCATCATCAGAGAGAGAGAGAGAGATATCATGTGCTATTTAAACTCACGTGTCTGATTTATTTCATTTAACATTATGATTTCAAGGTGCACCCATTTTCCTACAAACTGCTCAAATGTACCATTCTTTAAGGCAGAGCAGTACTCCACTGTGCATAAATGCCACATTTTCTTTATCCCTTCTCCTGCTGATGGGTACACAGACACTGGCCAGGTAACTCTCCCAAGAGATTCAAGGAGATTAAATAAATTTATTTAACCCATAACCCAGTCATAACCCTACGAAGTGATGACTGGTACAGTTATTCCTATTTTAGAGTGGGAGAAACCCAAGTTTTCACTTCTTTACCAAAGTCATACAGCTGCTAGGCCACTGACGGGATCTGAAAGCGAACCATGCCTTATAATCTCACTCTTAACACTGTGCAATGCTACTACCTGACATTTTGAGACCCAGGAGACATTTTCTTTCGTAACTCCATCTTAGAAAAGCTGCCATGGCTCCCTGCCCCCAACTACATAAGAGCTAAGAATTCTGACCCACAATACACTGCTTCACTGTAGCTGCCATCTTCATCCCCATTAATTCCTCACGTGTTTCTCCCCACTCTCCACTTTTATTCCATTCAGCCCCAATCACTCTGCCTTTCAGGTGACTGATTGATAGCTTTTTTTTTTTTTTTTTTTTGAGACAGGGTCTCACTATGCAGTTCAGGCTGGACTTGAGCTCACTTTGTAGCCCAGGCTAACCTCCCATCTCAGCCTCCCGAGTGCTGGGATTACAGGCGTGAGCCACCTCACCCACCTCACCTGGCTCTCTACAGTACCGGGGACTGAACTCATGACCTCGCGCTTGCCAGGCAGGCACTTACACCGCTGAGCTAAATCCCCGGCTGGATTGATAGCTTTTTTTCACTTAGTGTTTTTTCACATATAAACATTTAAATTAATTTATCTGACTTCACTTTTTTGCTATTTTGCCTCCATTGAGCAAGCCTCAAACTCAGAAAAATTCAAGTGCCCTCTCTGCCATTCTTCTTGAGTATGTTTGAACAAGTTACTCTCTTTGTCCCTCAGTTGAAATCCTGTCACTATCTCTTGACTTCCCATCTCAAACAGAGCAAAATCCAGAGTTCTTTCCATTCTGGGTAGGTAGGTCTCTGCAAAATCTGGGCCTCCTCAACTTTGACCTCATCCCTGTTGAGGTATGACTTCTGGTCCAGGCTCACTAAGCTGCTTTGTTTTTTGAATACCTACCTCAGGCCCTAGGCACTGAACCGTTACTGTTATACTATGCTGAAAAATTAAAATAATTGATTAAAAGATAATTAGCAAAAATAGTTAGTTAAAAAGATAGTTATTAGCAGTATTGTCATTCTGTACTGAACTCGTTACCTTAGTAACCAAGTACCAACCACATAGTTATAGATTAACTGACTGCATCATTACACTGTTCTGTACGTGTCCCCCCACCACCACCACCAAGTAACCTGTGTGCTATGTCAACCTTTGTTCCCCTTGTAATGAACAAATGATGCTGTGTCAACCATTGTTCCCTTTATGAGAGACAAATGTTCCTGGAATTGGCAGACCAAGGACTATGAATTGGCTAACCACCCACTGTGAAATGCCTCTTACCTCAAGCAAAGGGGAACAAGGGCCCACCTTGTTTGTTTCTCATCACTATGTACTTAATGATCAATGAGCTAACATAAACTATAAATTTGACTATAGTCAAAATTCTAACTCAGTTGCACAGCTTTGTAAATTCCATCTGCACTGTCGCTGGGCCAGCTAAAATAAAAGCACTTCTTTTAAAAAAGACGTCTTGTCCCATTTATCATCTTGGGGATCTTGCCCCATTTTTCACCATGGGGCCTTCTTTTTGGGTGGGTTACGACAATTACCTCAGCTGAAACTGTCTTCCCTTAAATTAGGTGTAAAGAATGACTCGGTTCTTCATTCTTTCCAGATCTTTACTCAAATGGCATGCTATTTTGCTCACAGCCCCTGGAAACAGTATCTGGCATACAGTACACAATTGGTTAGGTGAATTAAGGAAAAGAGACCAGGAAGGTTGACTCAGCAAAGTGTGAACTATGTGTAAAATAATAAAAGACTCTGGCACTAAGAAAACATTGCTCGGACTATGTATACTGCTTACATTTTAAAACATTATTTGAACTCATGCTCACTGATATGTGTCTCTGTCAATCAGGGCTTTCATTCAGCCAATGTCACTCAAATATTTAGGGAGTGTCTGCCAATAGGTTAAACACTGTGCTGTGCTGATACACTGGAAACATTATTTTCTGCACTCTGAGAAACTATAGATTATTGAGAGTATTTCTGCAGCCCCAGATGGAGCCTAAGGATTGTGTGGTTGATTTGTTTGTTTCTTCATATAGCATTTAAGACAGACCTTTTTAAAGTGATTGGCACTCCAGAAATATTGTAGTCTAGTCACCTTGTTTTCTTTGAAACTGCTTGCCATCCAATTAACTTGACGTGCTGAAAAACAGCTTTCTACCCTACCTCAAGCAAAACTATATGCAAAAATTTCACAAACAAGGACTATCCCAGCTCCCACATGCCTTTATTGTATTTATTAACAAATTTACAACACTTAACACTTCAACAGAAGAACAGCTGTTCATGTCTTACAACATTTCACATTTGCTTAACTTTTAAATTGTCATGTTTCAAAATAATGGTTTTGTAACTGCTAAGACTTGCTATGCCAGGTTATTTGACTGTAATTATGTAGTGAAGTAATTTTGACCACAAAACACTTTTTCTTACTTGAAAAACTGTACATAATTTGAAATTACTCAAATGATGTCTTAATCTGAAGCATAAATCCCAGGTGGTTAATGTTTCTAATAAAATGATTGCTGAGGAGCTGTGAGGACATTAGGAAACCAAACAAGAATATTGCCCAGGAGGAGTGAAGAGTAGCACAGAATGTCCTAAATAAAACTAAGTGAACCGCATTGCAGATTTTATTTTTTAGAAATCCTTATTTTAGATAAAAGACCAGTTGCATAGTAAGAATTAAGCCAATAAATGTATCTTGTAGAAGGTAGTATTATTATTGTTATTATTAAATATCTTTGATATTTGATAAATATCTTTGTCATCGTTACATATATTTTTAAAGGTGATTAGCTGTTATCTTTATTTTACAGTGCTTATTGTGATCAACTTTTACTTGGATTTCCCATAGAGAGACCAGTTAATATGCATACATACCTCACAGAAACAGTACCAAACTATTTTAAAATTAAACACTTGAAATATTGTATTTC